AAACTTTAAAAAAAAAAAGTCCCATAAAAACCTGTGTTCTTTTACCAAAGGATTGTGTCCTTATCATTAGAGCAATGGGAAGATAATAGTGTGTCAGGCAGTGTGTCACACACGATCTGATTTGGTTTTGCAAGAGAGGCTCTGGCTGTGTGCCATGGGGGACAAGTAGGAGGTAGGGAACCAGGAAGAGAATTGGGAAGCAAAACCCACAGGACTGGGGTTTGTGCTGTCTGTGCAGCGGGGTGAGCGGGGTGAGCGAGGGGAGGGAGGAAGGCAGGAGGCCGGGGGGGGAGGGGTGGGATGGCGCTTGGGAAAAGAACCGGGTTGCGGGGAGGAGTCATGAGCCCAGTGTTGGCGCTTTTCTCCCCAGGGGACATGGCTCTCTCTGATCCTCTCTTGCCCCCTCCCCATGTCCCCGGTGTGGCTGTGGCACTTCTTCTGGCCTGGGCTCTAAAGCCCACTCACTCCCCATGCCTCCCTTTTGAAAGGTACCCTCAGCACCACCTGCACAGGCTCTGTGGCCCTTATCTTCTCTCTGGCTACCAACTGTCCTATACCGTCAGAAAATCAGAAGCCCAGAGAAGACAAGGAACTTGTCTGAGGTCACACAGCAAATTGGAAAAGAAACCCAAGTTTCTCAGTCTTGATCCTGGTGCCCAATCTCTTGGCTCCTCTAACTCTCAAAGCGTCAATTGTGAAACAGGGACCAGCCCTAACCTTCCAAGAAACACCCAGGACACAAACTTGAGGTTTCTTTCCTGTTTATCGGGCATCAGAAAACTTTTGTGCTGAGCCTCAAACCAACCCAAAGACCTCTTCCAGCCAGGCCTGTGCCTTGGGCCACCAGAGTCTCTCTGAGCCTAAGACACAGGTGAGAGGAAGGGGCGGCAGGTGCAACCAAGGCATCGACATGAAAGGAAGGTGATCTGTCACACGGGAAGAAGAAAGTGAGAGGTGAGAAGTCATCTGGAGGTCGGGCGGTGGGGACAGCACCAGCACAGATCTGGGTCCTGGGCTGAGGGTGGAGGGACTTACCCTGGAACTTGACAATCTTCCCTTTGGGGCAGACAGAGTGCGGGGAGCAGCGGGCACAGGAGTTGGTGGCTGATGTGACACAGAACATGCCAGCCCGGCACTCACAGACACGGGAGGAGTTCCAGGAACATGGCTGCTTCTCCACGAGGTCATCTAAGGGACACAGAGAAGGGTCACAGAGGACAGAGGGAGGGCGAGGGAAGGGATCCAGATGACCTCCCAGGGACAGTCTGGCATGTGAGAGAGGGTGCTGCTGTGGCCTTCCACTGGGCATGGCAGCTGGCATGCTCAGCCCTTCTTTCCAGAGTGTCCCTGAGGTGACAGCAAGAGGGCAGGCAGGGTCCATGAGCCAGCCTCCACCTCCCAGCCCACATCCCTGGACACTGCTAAAACGGTATGAAAAAAATCGATGTCCTGATTTTAAAGTGAGCAGAAAAGGAGGGTCATCAAATACATATTTCTAAGTGGAAGAAGCCAAGCTGAAAAAGCTGTCTACTGTGACTCCACCTATATGGCATTCTGGAAAAGACAAAACTGTAGAGCCAGTGAAAAGATCAGTGACTGCCAGGGTTTAGCAGTAAAGGGAGGGGAGGATGAACAGACAGAACACAGAGGATGTTTAGGGCGGTGAGCCCACTCTGTACAATACTGCAATGGTAGAAAAATGACATTAGATATTTGTCAAGAACCATAGAACTGCATAACACAAAGAGCAAACCTTAAAGTAAACTATCAACTGTAGTGACTAAGGTACCAACACGTGATGACGGACCGAGCTGACGCAAGATGCTAATAATAGAGGAACCCGTGGGGCATGGTGGAGGAGAGGGGGCATATGGAAACCCTGTGCTTTCTGCTCAATTTTTCAATAAATCTAAAACTATTCTTTAAAAAAAAAAAAGTAGTCTATTAAGTATTTTTTTAATAAGCCAAAAATTTGAGAAAACTTTTCTCCAGAGAAGATATTCAAATGGCCAGTAAGCACATGGGAAGATGCTCAACATTACTCATCATCAGGGAAATGCAAACCAAAACCACAGTGAGATTGCACTTCATGTCCACCAGGATGGCAAGAATCAAGAAGACAGACAATAACAAGCGTTGGCGAGGATGTGGAGAAATCGGAATGCTCACACGATACTCGTGGGAATATACATTAGACAGTGTTGTGGAAACCAGTTTGGCAGTTTCTCAAAAAGTTAAAGATTTATTATATGACTCAGCAATTCTACTCCTACGTATATACCCAAAAGAACTGAAAACACCGGTCCACACAAAGACTTGTATGTGAATGTTCATAGCAGCATTATTCGTGATAGCCAAAAAGTAGAAATAACCCACATGTCCATCAACATTATAAACAAAATGTGTTCTATCCATGCATATAAAAAGGAATGAAATCCTGACACACGCTACGACGTGGATGAACCTTGAGAAAGAACATTATGCAAAGGAAGCCAGACACTAAAAGTCACATACAGCACGATCCCATTTATACAAAGTGTCCACAGCAGGCAAGTCCACAGAGACAGAAAGTAGATGGGAGGCGGTGGGAGGAGGAGAGCATTGGGAGGTAAGGGGTCTCTTCTTAGAGAGGCAGAAATGCTCTGGAATTGGATAGTGGCCGTGGTTGCGCATCGTGAATATACTAAAACCACTGCATTGTACACTTGAAAATGGTCACTGGTAAAAGTAATTAATTAATACAAACATCCCCAGAAAACAGTAAGAGGCATCCTTAGTCAACCAGAAATGAAGACTTCCTGAAACGTGGAAGGCAGATGCGAGTGGATGGAAGAAGGAGATCATGGCTAAAAATATACCCAAGAGGATTATGCTAGAAGCGGAGGCTCTGGGGTAGCCCCCGTCTCTGAGTGGGTACGTGGCAGAGGTGGGCCCTAGGGAATTCTACAGAGAATGCAGCAGGAGCATCCAGGTGGGTCAGTCTCCCCAGATTCCTCCTCCACTACACCACAGAGCTGGAAACCAAGCATCTCCCCAAGGAGACTCTTGGGTCAAGTGAGAAGAAGGCTGGGCGTTGCCTTGGGGCTGATCGAACCTGGGAGGAAAGGACCCTACAGACCCAGAAGCCCAGCTACTGGCAAACCCTGCCTGGTACCCTGCCCCACTGGCTTACCCCCACGACCGTCAGAGTTGGGGTTCACACGCAATCAGGTCATGAGATGTGAAATGCAAAACTAGAAGTCACCAAACTCGAGAGAAAATAAGCACCAAGAATAAACAGCCCCCAAATCAAAAAGCACTAACACTTGAGGAAGCAGACAGAAAACAGAACAAGTCTTTGGAATCAGTATAATTACTATTCTCGCAGATGCAAAGGGAAATTGCAGCTATAAAAAAGAGTCCCTTCAAGCTTAATGTCATATTCAACGATTCTTGTTTCACCTGGGCTCAGAAACACTACATTTCCCAGCCTCCTTTGCAGTTGGGTTGGGGTCATGTGATAAGGTCCAGCCAATGAGATGTGGGTAGCAGTGATAAAAACTTCTCCCAAGCCTGGCCCCTAAAACCATCTCAGGACACTCTCCACTTTCTCTTCCTTGTTGTAGTGACCCTGGTGTGGCCCCTAACTCTCACCTATACCCCCAGATACTGTACTGTGGAGAGAATAAAATCCTGAGAATTCTCAAAAATCTGGAGAGAAGTAGACTGAGGGCAGTGAGCAGACATCCCTGGAAAACTCAAAAAAAATTCTCAGAGTAGCAGCGGCACATAATGTTACAGGCCTGGGCAGAGGTAGAAAAGACTGCCTGGGCTTAACTTCCAGGAAGCCAGGCCAAGTTGTGGAAGTAAGCAGAAGACCCAGGAGTGGGGTACACCCCTTCCTAAGCAGTATGAGCTCTGGAAAAGGCTGACAGAAGGGAAAGCAGATCCCTGCCCCCGTCTCTGGCTACATGGTGCCTCCCATCCCGACCCCAGACTCCTAAAATGAGTTTCAAAACTAACACTCGGGATTCTTCAAAAAATGAAAGTATCACCACACGATCAGCAAGTCCAATGCCGGGTATACACGCAAAAGAATTGAAAGCAGGGACCTGAACAGATATGTGTATCCCCATATTCTCAGAAGCATTATTTGCAATAGCTAAAAGGTGGAACAACTCAAATGTCCATCAACATGAATGGATAAAAAAATATGGTAGATCCATTCGGTGGAATATTATTCAGCCTTAAAAAGGAAATTCGAAATTCTGACACATGCTACAACTATGCTAAGTGAAAGAAGTCACAAAAGAATAAAATTGTATAATTCCACTTATATGAACTTCCTAGCGTAGTTAAATTCATAGACAGAGTAGAATGGTGGTTGCCAAAGGCTGAGGGACGGGGGAGAGGAGCCATGTTGAATGCGGACAGAGTTTCTGTTGGGGAAGATAAAATCCTTCTGGAGCTGGACGGTATAATCGTTGCCCCAAAATGTGAATGTATTTAATGCCATTGAACCGTATGATGAAAAATGGCTAAAATGATAAATTTTATGTTATGTATATTTCACCACAGTTTTTTTTTTTTTAAAGTAACAGTCCCCAGCTGAAGCTCTGAGCTGAGAAGACAAACTAGAGCCCAGTGAAGTGGGCAGATGTATAGGGGAAGTCACCCCCATGGCATCAGGGCAGAAAGAAGGTAAGTTTGAGCAAGGAAAAAAGCTGTAACGTGGCGACTTTGCAAACATACTATAGCAAGAAAGAAGGAAGGGAAAGAAGAGGAAAGGTGAGAAAAAAAAGAGAAAGATCTAAAAAAGATAGGAAGATTATTTGCAAAGACAAAGAACCCAGAGTCTAAGATAAGCTTCACACCCTAAAGGAACTTAGCTAAGAATATAAATTCGATAAAGGAAGATCTCAAAGAAGAGATGATTTTTAAAAAGGATGAGATAAGAAGGAAGACAAGCAGAACTAAAAAACAAAAAACAAACAAACAAAAAAAAACTGAGCTGCACAGCACCATCATTAGAAATGCAATCAGTAAAATCCCAGTGTCCTGGGCACTAGGGGTACCTGGGAGGCAAGAAGCAGAAGATTAGACAGAAAAGTGAGTTCATGGCATGGAGAAGAGATTGGGAAAATACCAGTGAATGCAAAGTAAAAAGACAAAGATATAAATGCCATCGAGGAAGATGAGATAGACAAGGAGGAAAGGCAAAGATAATCAAACATAAGCACAAAGTCGACATTGAAACAAGTGTATTCAGCAGAGAGAAAAATCCAAGTCGACTTCCCTGGAATAAAGAAAGAACTAAATCCACAGCTAGAACAGGCATACCAGTCCCAGGAGGATTAATATCCAAACGATTAATATCAAGGCATATTCCGGTTCCACTTTTGGTCCTTAAAGATTAAACAAGAATTATTCTCGCAGTGATCTATGAAGAGTGGGGAAGAAGGCTAATTGCAATGTTAATCACAAGAAGACAACACACCAACGCCTGCTAAGCTCTAGAGAAAATATGTCCCGGAAATAATATTATTCCAACCCAAGTTGTCATTCGAGTAGAAAGACAATGAACATTCTCAAACGTGAAAGCAGTAAAGGCATGGACAAAGATGAGTCTTTCCCGAAAAATCCACGTGACCGTGAAATCGAGCAATAAATCAAAATGGAAAATCCAAGAATGGAGAAGCTGTGGTAAAAATGTACTCACAGTGCACAATGGGTAAATTTAAAGAGCAAAGGTAAGCTAACATGCCAAGGGACTTAAGGTCACAGAAAAAGAATATAAGCATCACTGACTATGATAAAGTAAAAATATGTAAGCAATAAACGTCAGGAAGAGAGAAGACAGGGAGGTGGGCAAGCGAATTACGTCATTTTTCATCACAGGGAGTCAACCTACGCTCCACTGTCCCAAAATTGAAATGAGTAGAATATGACTTTAAAACAAGACGTAGTGGTTCCTTAAATGATTCCTAACCACTTATTGATTTTCATAACCTCTTTTCTTAATTTTAGAGGTTTTTTTAAGGAACTACTCTCTCATGTAGTTTAGTTTCTTCTCTTTAGCTCCTTCTTCCTCCAATACACTTGAATAAAATTAAATGTAACCTTTTCAATGCCATAAGTAGTATGATCCCATCCTCTTAAAAATTCCTTCTTTCTGTAGTCTGGCTACTAACCTACCCATTTTTCTCTCT